CTCCCCGGCACCACAGCCCTCCCCGGCCGCCACCCCAACCCCGATCCCACCCCGGTTCATGTCCACCGGCCCCGCCAACGGCGCGGACGTACGTTCGCCATCTGTGGGATGCCGCCCCAGACAGGATGTCGGCCGCCTACTGACCAGGTCAGAACTACTCGCCCGGCCAAGCAAGCCATCATCCCCAGCAGCAAGCACCGCCTGGTCCCTGGCAGCTACACACTTCCGGAGCCCGCTCGCCGCCCCAGAAGCGCACGCCGGCCTGCGTGGAGCACGGCGCCTGTAACCATGGCAATGCCGCGGGGCCCTCCCCTAGCGCTTGCGTTATGCGTCCTCCCGAGACTAGATGTGGAAGGGCAGAACTTGCGGAGCCAATGGGAGCCAGGGCGCGGCAAGGACTTAGGTGGGGGGAGGCTTATGGGATAGCTGGGCGGGGCCGGGCAGGGCGGGGCCGCGCGGAAGTCCTGACCTACAGGTGGCGCCGGCCGGAAGCTGGGGCATTGCTGCCACCAGTGGGCGGGGCAGAGGGGCAGCGAGGCAGCGGGGCAGTGGGGCAGTGGGGCGGGGCACCCGGGCGGGGCACCCTCATCTGTCCATGTGTGGGGATCAGCCTGGGCTCCGCGGCCTCCGCTTGCACCATACGTGGACCCAGGCTACCGGTGGGCAAGATAGAGGACTGAGCCCAGGCACGCACGGCTGGCCAGGTAGGGCACCTGAAATGCAGATCCGCCAGGCCCGCTGCCGGCCTTGAATAAGCACTGCTAGGCAGTTTCCAAGAAGATGGGATCTGTCATAAGAGGGGAGGTAGGGCTGGGGTGCCAGATGCCAGGTTGGGTGCAGTCTCAGAGGAGAGCCATGGTGAGAGGGCGCAGAGAGGCCCCTGTGTTGGCGGGGCTAAGAATTTGGGGTATAGGGTGGGGGTGGTGTGTGCCTTGCCCTGTGGTCTCCCCAAGAACCCTCACTCCAGAACAAGGGGCTCTGCTCCCCCCACCCCTCACTGCACTCCCTGCCTTCCCCAGCACCACCTGGGGTGTGGTCATGTCAGGGCAGGGAAGGCCCAGAGAAGGGGCTCATTCAGGGGCAGGGGCCACTCTGCAGGGATGCTGGACCCGACAGCGATGTGGTGCTTTGGAACTCCCTTGGGATGGGTTTCTAACCAGTGGGATGGAAGGGCCTCTCCTTCCCGGGGTGCAGTTGGGGGAACTAGATCCATCATGAATGTCAGCCCTGAAAATGGAGGCTATGCTACATCCATTTCTAGAACGAAAAATCAGGCCCCTCCAGCCAAGGTGACTCAGAAATTCATTCAGCAATGTTCGGGTTCCCTAGTTTAGGCTTTCAATTAGAGCTGAGTCGCTCAGGAAGCCAGATCCCTGTCCGTGGCTCCAGGAGTAGGCTTTCTCCTTGGGGGCAGGATCCTCACAAACACCTGTGTCTTTGTGGGTCACTCCCCTCTGAAAAGCTGGGAGGCAGGGTGCAGTTGTGGGAAATCGTGTTTCCATGAGGAGAGGGCCACCAAGTGGTGGGGGCACAGGAGACAGTGAGAAAGAGTCCCGCAGCCTTTCTGGAATCAAAAAACTGGCAAAGGTGAAAAACTGCATAATTTGTTTCATTGAACAGGCTGCTTATGTACGTTTGGAAGGCCAGGTTCAAGGACTCTGCATCCCTCCAGGAAAATAGCCTCAAGAGAAGAACAGACAGAGTAGGAGGAGATGTGGGGTTTCTTCCAGGAATGAGGCAGAACAGGTATTTGTGCAGATTTGCAAGGAGACCCCGACCACTGAGCAAGGGGTTACAACCCCACGTGACACCTGTCGTGTGTGACTTCGGCTCTGGATCTGGCCTGATCATGTGTTCTTCCAGGTGAGTTCCAGAAACTCAGAGGGTAGACTTAGAAGGGCTGCGCTTGGAACCCGGTGTGGAGACAGAGGGTCCTTTATACTGAGTCCCCTCAGCCTAATCACTGTAGCTGAGTTCCAACACCACCCAGGCCCCCAGGGTGGCCGTGGAGGGAGAGCAAGCCTGGCAGGTGACCCAGGAGTCCCACTGCTGTTCCCCTCCCTTATCTTAGTTTCCTTTCACCCCGGAAGATGTGATTGTCTCATGGCATGGTGACAAGCCATCTCTCTTCTCTGTCAGGTGGGGTCCCCAACCCGGCTCAGCCTTCTCTCTGCATGGACGCTGAAGGACTAGGCTCACTTGAATTTCTGAGCTTGAGCAGTAAAGTGGAAACAAAGAAACCAATGGAAACAAAGAAACAAGTGATTGTGGCAAAGCTCCCCACCAAAGAGAAGCTGCCCTGAGTGGAAGGGAGGGTGTGGGCATGCCCAATTGTTTCCTGTCTCCCAGTGCTCTTCATTTTCTTATTGCAGACCTGCATGTTTACAACAAAATGATCTGCAAAACTGAAAATATTTACTCTCTCTCTTTTACAGAAAAGGCTGACCAGCCTCTGGTTCCCGTACCGGTCAAGTGATTGGAGTACCTTTCCAGTTTGGAAACATCTGGGCAGGCCCAAGTTTGCAAAATCCTTTGAGTAGTTATGGAGTTTTGCTTCTAAACATTTTTACGGCTGTATACTTCTGAGCTGAGGTTGTGCTGTGTAATTCTGAGCCAGGATTTTCTCAAACTGTTTCTCATTTCTTATACCGGACACCCCTAAATTCCAAGGGGAATGAGATGTGAAGGAAGCCACAGAGTTTAGGAAAAAGATACAGATTTCATTTCCATTTAAGCATCGATGTATCTCCATCCTAGGCAGTATCGGTTCTGTGGTATTGATAGGGGAATAAATAGCAACTAAATTTAAGAAAATAGTGGATCATTGGGTACACAAGTTCTTCTTTTCAACATTTTTGTAATGTTTACAGTTTCAGATGACCATTCCTGAGAAACAGGCAGCCTCTTAGAATTAAATAGCATTTTCCCTGAACAATATTCAGTTTTTATTTCATAGACAGCAGGAAGGGCAATCACACATCCAACATTTGGGAACCTCAATGATAAAATGTAACTTTCTGAGAGCACACTCCCCCCGTCTCCCCCTGCTCTTTTCACTGTCCCATTGTCCCTGAAGGCTCTTTTGTATCTTCTGCTCATGACGCCAGTAACTCTTCCTCCTCGTTCCTCAGCTGGCAAGTTTACTTTTCTACTTTGACCAAGCAAACTGAAACCAACAGAAGGGAACTTTCAGCAGCAACTCCCAGCACATCCTCTCGCCTTCTGATGTCTGTGACCTCACTCTCACTGCCCCACCTCTTTTTACAGGTGACATCGAAAGCCAGACCATCCAAAAGTCGCCAGGGGGCC